TCATGGCAGGAAGAAAGCTGGTGAGAATGCCAGGCAGTGGTTCCCTTTTCTGACTGGAAATAATTGCCTATGGGAAGAAAACAAAACACACACACACACACACAATTAAAGCTTCAGAGTTACATGGCATCAACCATTTCTCTCAAGCATTATAAAGAAATATTTGAGGTAAATGAAATTTCTTATTAATGAAACAAAAATTATACTTCTGATCTCTATGCAGATCAAACAGCTCAGATTTGGCACAGCAGATTTAACATCCAAAACAGTATTCATAATTTCACAATTTCTACTGCTCCTCTCTAAATCCCAAATGCCCTAAGTGAAATCATAATCACACTTGAAATTGACCCCTGAAGTGTTCAAAATGCCATTCACCAAAAACAGATGCCTAATTTCCACTAAGAAACATTAGCTAGAAATTATTCATGAAAAAAAATGTCCAAGCTAGTTTCATAACATTTATCCATTACACAATAACCATGACTTTTAGAAAAAAATGACAATGAAGTGTTAAGACACTGTACTAATTAGGGTGAAGGAAGAGGAGGAAATGAAATAAAATTATTATATCAAGGAGTGATAATTATTATAATAATCACTACTGGTTAAATGTAGTTATCTCAGGGGAAAGAGTTTAAGAATGGGAACGGGTAGAGCAGGAAAATTCCTTTGCGTTTTAAGCCTTTCTCTATCATTTGATTTTTAAATCTTGTACATGTATTACTAACTTTTCAGAAGGCCCTTACCTATTACTACTTGTGATTTATTATTTTGTATTAATACACTTTTGGTCTTTCCAGATGGCTCCAAACTACCTCAGCAATATAATGATGGCAAGGGGATCTTTAAACGAGACTTTTTCTTGCAGGTAAAAAGGATAGTTTAACGAAAGGTCCCCTCCCTTCATAGCTGACAGCAGCATGGACTGGACCATCTCACAAGTGGTAGGGCTTGTTTTTCAAACTTGGGGAAAATCAGAGCTCTAATTGCAGATCTGATGGTTTCTAAGAGAATGTACTTTGCAGCCGGCAAAAAATGAGAGGTCAAGCTTTAGTAAGTATTCCTACTGGTACCCAAAACTCAACGATATCCGGTTTCCTAATTACGAGGCTTTCGGGGTTCCTGTGACAAGTGGGACGATTTGATCCGGGTTCAGAGCTGAAAAAGCTTGGAGGAGGAGCAGGGCCGCGCCCGCACCCCACCCCACCCCCTGCGGCCGTCAGACTCAAGCTCCACCCACGCCCCCTCCCAGCTGGCAACCGGAAACCCCGGCCCGGCCCGCCCAGGCTCGGGCGCCCGGCCGAAGGTAGGCCGGGAGGCCTCCGATGCCCCTCGCGCGGCGGTTCCGTAAGGCTGGCCCGCAGCGGTCGCCAAGGCCCTTCGGGTGGTAGACGAGCTCCCAGAATCGTCCTCTGCTCGCGTGCTTTACGCCAAGTCACCTAGAATCGTACCTCCCCAACTCCCTGATACCAACCGCCTGGGACGCCGGGCGCGCGCTCGCTGGCTGGTGTGGCTCGTACACGTGAGGCTCGTGCACGCGCGAGCCCGCGAGCATGCGCTTCTGAGGCACAGCGCGCACCCCGATGCGCATGCGCACCAGGTGTCGCCGGCTTGGAAACGCTCGCGTACCCAGGTGTCTTCTCACTGGTACACCGAAGTTTCCAGTCCTTATCCCGTTTTAGCATGGCGTGAAAAGCTGTTTCTAGCAATTTTTACTCGTTTTTCCCTTTTTTCCCTTCTCATATCTCCTGTGTGCGTACTACCATTTAATTCAACAGAGGCTCCCTAGGTGCTGCAGTAGTAAACAATGCAGGAGATGAGGGTTTGATCCCTGGGTAGGGTAGAGCCCCTGGAGGAGGGCATGGCGACCTACTCCAGTATCCTTGCCTAGAAAATCCCCTAGACAGAGGAGCCTGACGGGCTACAGTCCATGGGGTGCGAAGAGGCACGACCAAGCATGATATTTTATTTGCTTATCATCTGTCTACTCCCTAGAATGTGGATATTTGTCTATTTTTAATTTGCTGCTGTATCTCCATGGGAAGAACAGTGCCCGGCTTATGTTCAGTTCAGTCACTCAGTCGTGTCGGACTCCTTGTCATCCCATAAACTGCAGGCTTATGTTAGACACTAAAATATTAATCCAGAGTTTTCCATCTTAAAGATCTGTAGTTATTTCAGAGCTGGGAAAGATGAAGAATCAATATAGCTCTATTCTTAATTTACAGATGAGGACAAGAAGACTCTGTTCGCTGACCTTTTTTGGTATTTTTCTAATGGAATGAGAGTGGACCTCTAAGGGGATTGTGAGATTAGTTCAGTTCAGTCGCTCAGTCATGTCCAACTCTTTGCGAACCCATGAACCACAGCACACCCAGGCCTCCCTGTACATCACCACCTGCCAGAGTTTACGCAAACTCATGTCTGTTGAGTTGGTGATGCCATCCAACCATCTCATCCTCTGTTGTCCCCTTCTCCTCCTGCCCTCAATCTTTCCCAGCATCAGGGTCTTTTCAAATGAGTCAGCTTGTTGCATCAGGTGGCCAAATTATTGGAGTTTCAGCTTCAGCATCAGTCCTTCCAATGAACACCCAGGACTGATCTCCTTTAGGATGGACTGGTTGGATCTCTTGCAGTCCAAGGGACTCTCAAGAGTCTTCTCCAACACCACAGTTCAAAAGCATCAATTCTTCAGTGCTCAGCTTTCTTTATAGTCCAACTCTCACACGCATACATGACCATTGGAAAAACCATAGCCTTGACTAGACGGACCTTTGTTGGCAAAGTAATATCTCCGCTTTTTAATATGCTATCTAGGTTGGTCATAAGTTTCCTTCCAAGGAGTAAGCATCTTTTAATTTCATGGCTGCTGTTACCATCTGCAGTGATTTTGGAGCCCAGAAAAATAAAGTCAGCCACTGTTTCC